TATTCACATTTATACTGAAATACCACTCTTCTATGTTAATAAATGTTGGGACTACCAACTCACCTCCACTTCTACAATTATGAGTTTTGGTATGACATATCAAAATATGTTGGATACATAGTACTTAATTTTAACATTTATCAGTATTTCCTAAAGTTACTTGGGGCCAGATTAATAGCTCTCCGTTGTGCCCCTTGTACATAATCATGAGGTTTAGGAAGGCAACAGTATTTTGTTTTAACAGAATCAAGTTGCACTTGTCTAAATTTTTAGAATAAGCATTTTTGGTGTGGCAGAGTAGGGGTCTAAGAGTTGATTCCAAACACACACATATTGATGGGTCACGCCTTTAACCCATTAAAGAAATAATTTTTAACTTGTTATACAAACTAAAACAAACAGTCTACATGCAAACTCCAATCCAGAAAGCCATATGTCATGCATGTGTTTATATGGGACAGGATGCTGACAAAAGCTGCCTCCAGGAAGGAGTACGCAACAAGCACATTGGGAGATTGGGTGCAGGTGTTTTATGCCTCACTGGGGCGTTTTCCCTGGAGGCCAAAGCTAAACTACTTTTTTTTTTTTCCCCCTGACATTTATCAGAAATTCATGAAGACAAGCTTAGAAAAGAACACACATTTTTAACATTTTTTGTTAGGTTTCATTCTTCCTGAAAGGATTTTTAAAATCACGTATTCTTGCCCTGAGATTTAGTGGTCCTACACTCGGCTCAACAGGAACACACTTAGAGCTTATCTGTGAGAACCACTTGAAAGAAAGGCAGTCCCCTTCTTCCAAGGCATGTCATGCCAAGTGACAATCACAGGTACAGCTCATAAAAATTCAATAGTTTCAACATCTTATTGTTACTCTCCCTTCCCCATGGCCTCAGAGCGCATGCTAAATGTTTGTGATGAGCTGGAGATGAGGCCTTTTGGAATATTAAGACTATAAGCACTTCATATCTCAGCTGTGAAAGTAGCTCCAATGCCAACAGGGTTTCATAAAACACATACCTCCCTACTTGGTGAAGAACACAATGCCTTATAAGTTTCCTTTGTCACAAAAGACAAAACACATTTCAAAGATTTGATTTATATTGCAGTAAGACAACAAAAATGGAATCAACATGAATGGATTAAAGTTATGAATATTTTTGCATTGAGAACTATAAAAACATGAAAATGTAGTTTAGACTTTTGCTCATTCATGAAAGCAACATAGGCCTATGCTTCATATTAAGGAACACTATAGGCAGCGTTAAGAAACAAAATGTTCCATAATACTGGTTGAAATTAGCAATTTAAATATGCTGAGTGAGGTCACAAATGCACAAATCATGGAGATTTGAGTACTTGCATAGTTGTTAAAAAAATGTATCAAAGGCCATAGGTTAAAAATAATGAATGCAGGCTTCATTATTATTATTAAAATTTGCAATCTGAGATCACAATTTATTTGTTTTACAAATGCATTTTGGGGTTAAAATTTTTCAGGTCTCCTGTGACAAACCATGAAATTCAATATTGCTAACCATGACCAATCCATGAAATTTGTCAGCTTTGTTCTTGGTTTTCACAGGGCCTTTTTCTGAGATGAACTGACCCATTGAACTGAGAGCATAGCAATTTTTTTTCAACCTTGGTAAATCAGTTTATTTCACTAGGATTTATTAGGGGCTTCAAATTTAAGCTTTTTATATTATAAACCATTTATATGTAATCTCAACCTTATGGTGGTTTTACTCACTGTTCCTTCTCTTCTCTGAAAGAGTTCTCTGCTTCTAAAACAAGTTTTTAGTTTGTTTTCAAGAAGGAAGGATCTGTTAGTCATGGGCATGCTTCAAATCAGAGTGGGAAACTGGAAACAAAGTTGTTAATTACTTTTCAGCATTGACCATATATGTCCGAGGATATATTCAGAATAAAAATGTATATATCACTATAATCAGAAAGCAAAGAGAATTCTGCCTAATTTAACATAAGTAGGAAAATATTATGTGAACTTTTTACTATCTAATAAAGTAAGAGTACATAATTATTTATTCTTTGACTATAAAGAATAGATTTGGAGGAAATTTTTTAATTATCATTTTTAAATGATATGAAAAACCTTAACATTAAATTAAAAAGTGATTTTGCTTGTGGTATGCACTCTAGAAGTTTTTTCATAAAGTCTATTATAAGGTTTATGGGAGAATCAAGCTAAACTGAAATTGAAAGTAGCCTGAATTTTTATATTTTGCTAACTTATTTATTTTTCAGTTAGTATTTCTAATTTATTATTATTATTATTATTATTATTATTATTATTATTACAATTTATTCCTTTGTATTCTGGCTGTACATCTCCTTCTAGTCTGACCCTCTCACCCTCTTCTGCCCCAGGGCCCTCCACAGTCCACTGATATGGGAGGACCTCCTCACCTACTATCTGACCCTAGCCTACTAGGTCTCATCAGGACTGTCTAATGAGATCCTCTTTCTCTGTGGCCTAGTAAAGCCACCCCTCCAGTGGGAGGTGATCAAAGTGCAGGCAATGGAGTTCATGCCAGAGACAGACCCTGCTCCCCTTACTAGGACACACACATGGAGACTGAGCTGTGCATGAACTGCATCTGAGCAGGGTGTCTAGGTCCTCTCCTTGCATGGTCCTTGGTTGATTCATCACTCTCTCTGCAAAACCTGCTGGGCTCAGATTATTTGGCCCTTTTGGTCTCCTTGTGGAGTCCTTGTCCCCTCTGGGTCTTTCTATCTCCCCCTTCTTCCACATTACCTATCTGTTTCTACTTGCCATAACTAGTTAGGCCTTTGAAACCTAATATTAAAATCTCTGTGCCAGATTTGTTGAAAGCGTTAAGGCCAGCCCATTGTGGTGGCACATGTCTTTAGTCCTGGCACTCAGGGAGGCAGAGGCAGGCAGATCCTGGTTTTACAAAGCAAGTCCAGGACAGCCAGAGCTACACATAGAGAAACCATATATTGAACAACCCCCCAAATGAAAGAAAGAAAACATGAGGCTTTTAGATCTCTTTCAGATTTGAGCACATGTACATTTAAAACAATTATTAAAGCTAGAACCAATTATCTTACATAAAAAGTGAAATCTACTGGTGCTCAAGAGACAGTTCAGTGCTTAAAAGAGAATACTGCTCTTGAACAGGACTTAGGTTCAATTCCCATCCCTGACACTGGAGAGCTTACAACCTCCAGTTCCAGTGATCTCACAACTTCTGAACTCAGAAGTACCAGCACCCATCTGTGCACACACTCCCATATATCCATCATTAAGAATGAGTCTTTAAAACGTTAAAAACTATTACACACATAAGCACACACACAAATACACACATACAAACACAAATACACACATATCCAATAGACCACATTCAAAGTCTGGCATGTGCAAACTCATGATCCCTGTACTTGGGAGGCTGAGATAGGAGGATTTCATCAGTAAAAGCTCACCTTAGTGTATAGTAACAATGTTTCAAACCCAGAAAATCAAAGTAAAGTTTAAAATGTATTACAGGCTTATTAACTAAATGAGACCTACTGACACAAAGCACATCAGAGGGACTAAATAGCTTTGAGAATTGGTTCATGTTCAACTTATAAAACATCCAAAATTATGATATTAAAAATATACTTCAGAGTACTTCTACATGGTATTAAATACAGAGTTCAATATCAGGCATGACAACAACTTGGTTAAGCAAAATATATTTGATACTTACTTATATAATTCTGTCAACGGTGATGTCAAAATAGCTAATGTTGTAAAGAGATTGTTGCAGTGAGTATGAATTTTAAAAATTTTGTTGTTGTTATACTTATGAGGATTCTGAATCTCTTGTGCAGAGCTACAAACTGACCATAATATGTTCTCAGTGCATATTAAGATTGCCGTGACATCAAGTCTATTGGAAAGAGAGAGAGAAAATCATGTGAAACGAATGTTCTGGTTTTTTGTATATACTCTAGTGTGTCTCTTATAAAAGTATGTAAGAACAGAAAGATATGGTTAGATAACAGAGGTATTTACATGTATATATAAATGTAAATATAAACATATATAAATATATCAATGCTTTGGTTTTGTTTATTTTCATTTAATATTTTTCATTCTTTGAGAACTTCATACATGACTGCTGCATGTAAATAGTTCCTGTCAGTCCATTTTACTCCAACTTTTCCTGGGCTCCCTCCCAATTTCACAATATTTTCTTTAATTATTATTGTGACACATATATTCTATATAAAAAGCATTTGCTTTGCACTATCAGAATTCTCTTCCAGAAGCTCAGGAGGCTGGCCTTGAAATCAATGTGAGCAAAATTAGAGCTGGTTAAGAAGAAAAATGTGCTATCACACCACACACACACACACACACACACACACACACACACACTGTAGTTAATATTTGATAGAGAACCTGTCTCCATGTCATCCACATGTAAACTGTCAGAAAGAAGTCATAAGGTCAGGTAACATACTCTCCTTGAAGGAGGAGAGAAAGAAGGCATGCAACTGAAGCACAAACTGAGAAATTCAGAAATTTGGGAATATGTTCAGAAATTCCTAAAATTATAGTTATTTGTGAAAGAAGAATGCATTATTTATCTTACTCATAAACATTTTATTTCCATTGCTCACGTTGTTTTTGTTTAAAAATTTAAATACATTTTCACCATAATCAACACACACTAATTGTACATATTTTTGAAGGCCAACATTCCAAACTCATGAATACAGTATGTGAAAGGTATATATGTATATATGCGTATATAAAAATATATGGGGATGTATGTGTATTTACAGATATATATGTATATATATATGTGTGTATATATGTATATGTGTATATATAGGTATATGTCTGTATACATATGTACATTTATACATGCGAACATATGTACATATTTGCACATATATACATATGTGTGTATATACACACATATACTTATATACATTCACATATGTATTAGTAACATATAATACATGCATAATTCATATAGATATATAGTTTTGGTCATATGTTATATGGAGACTACTAGAACTTAGTGATCACTGACAATTATCAATAATCACCATTAGGAAGGTTCAATTTTAGTTTTTTTTAACTGTAATTGTTAACAGTTTCTATTCCAAGAAACATAGACACACATACGTACACACACATTTTTAGATTTCTACAATAATTATGGCTTATTATTAACCTCTCAAATATAAATACTTATATATTTCACATAGAAAAATTAAAAGCAATAATTCTAAATTTTCGTGATCATCCAAAACATAAGAAATCAATGTCTCTATAGTGCCATTAATTAATTAAATATATTACTAACTCATGATATAACTGTAAATTCAGTTTCACAAAATGTCTGTTAATGATGGGCCACATTATAGCCAAAAGTGATTTACGCTTCATGAGAGAGGGAGTGAAGGTATCCTTTACTCTGAAAAAGAATTGTACATCTATTCTTCAGAGTTCAATTTCTTTAAAAACAGCTTGATCGGTAATTGAAAACAGCCTGTGCAGAATAGCATATTTATGAAACACTGTCGCATGACCTAAATGCCCTTCAAATCACAGTGTGCTTTACAAGAACATGATTAGGACATGCTTTCTCCGGCCAGAAATAAAGACAAAAAGGAAGTCTCTGATGTCTGTGGGTTTCTTCAGAACTATATCTGAAACTATTATTTCATATCTAAATCCAGGTTTTAATCACGGTAGGCAAGTATCTATTTTAAAAAGCCTCCTCCATGTAGCTCACTGTTGTCACTAAGCTCATTTGCAAAATACTCACTGACAAAATACTAGAATTGCATTTTAATTCAGTCTTTAATTTAAATTAGTGTCTTTTGCTTCCCATTTTCTACAAGTTCCCATTTTCTTCAGCTGGCTTTCAGTAATATATAGAGGGGTAAAAGGAAAAATGAAGGGAAAGCCTGGACAATCAATGGGGTTCTCTGTGTAGGCCTGGCTGTATTGGAACAGGCTTTATAGACCAGGTTGGCCTTGAACTCAGAGATTTGCCTGCCTTTGTCTCTCAAGTGCTGATATTAAAGATGTGCACTACCACGGTAGGCTAGAATATGTTTAAAACAAAGTAGATTCCTTAATGAAGATAGCTACTCCACTTGAAAACTGTAGAAACTAAGTAAATAAAAGGCTAAAGTCCCTTAGTTGCCTAGGACCAAGAAGTCGGATTCAATGCTCTGTCACAGCATAGTCGTTGTTTTCTCTTCTACAGGGCCCTAATTTTTAATATGACAATAGTTATTGTTATGATTTACCTTTATTCAATTTTATATCCCAATTGAAGCCCCCTCCCTCATCTCCTTGCAGTCCCACCCTCCCTCCTCCTTATCCCTTACTCCCTCCCCCTAGTCCACTGATAGGGGAGGTCCTCCTCCCCTACCATCTGACCTTGGCCTATCAAGTCTCATCAGGACTGCCTGGGTCCTCTTCCTAGCTGGCCTAGAAGGGCCACCCCACCAGGGGGAAGATCAAAGAGCAGGCAACTGAGTTCATGGCAGAGACAGCCCTATAGGGGCTTAATTTGCTCTTACCTTATTTTTGTGTACATTCAACCTAGTCACACATGGGAACATTTCCTATGGGCAAAGTGACTGTAATGCAGGTGGAAGGAAGAAGGGCGGGGAAGTCGTTCTGACCCAAGCATTTCCTTCTCAAATGGCTCAGAAGAATGGGCATCCTCTCCCCCTGGGAGTTACAAAGGCACTAAACACAATTTTGTCTTGAACCTCAAATTCTCGTTCTGCTTTACAAGCTCATCTCAGAAAAAAAAAAAAAAAGTCTTCTTGAAGAGCAGCTTTCATTACCTTATCTGTGCAGTTCTCTTGGGACTCGGATGGGCCTGGGCATATCTGGAGGCAAGGAGACCCAGGGATTTCTCCAGCAGCTCCGCTAGAATCTCCTGGGCCAGTTTAGGGGGCAGTATGGTCCAGAGATCGTGATGCACAGCCCAGATGAAGTAATGCCACATCTGGATGGAGAAGGAGCATCTTTCCCCCTGGCAAAATCATCACACATTAAACAAGAGAATCACATCTCCTGAAATGTCAGTTTACTTCCTGTGAACCTAATTAGTTCAGGCTGAAAGGAAATCACTGGAAAGTCTGCCATGCTAGATGACCAAGAAAGATTTCAGACAAGATGTTAAACATCATATTGACAAAGGAACATATGTTTTATTTCAATTATGAATCAGATATTCTAGTGTAAATCCAGACCACAAGCATTTAACCTAGTACACTGCTGATGTGCTTTGTCCTGATCTACTCTCTAAAATTTAAGCACCAGCTTTGTAGTGGTTTAACAAGTCATGCTGATTCTCTACAATTAAAATCTGTTAACATTTTTTATGGAGGCACATTTCTCTCAGATGATTGGCATTGCTGAGCTAATTTTACAAAGTTTTCGGATTCCATATTATAATGGAATAAGAGGACTGATAACAAACATGAGCACTACATCTTAGGAGCATTCATGAAACCAAGTGTGGCACTTATCTACTGAAGAATACTCGGGCTATTTCATTAACGGTGTTTTGATACTGGCTTATACTAGCAATAGATAAATAGTGATCTAATGTTGACGCCACTTTGTAAAGTGTAGTCACAAATTATCATCATTTAACATTTTCACATACTTTCAAGGGGTCAGCCTCTCATTTGTCCCTATTCCTCCACAGAGCTTGCTTCTGTGCACTAGTTTTGCCTAACTGCAGATGGGAACCCAACAGTGGCCAGGCTGAAGGGAACAGGCCCAAGGGAACAGGCAGTGAGGAGAAGGTAGTGTGATTTGCAAGCAAGCATTACTTAGGTCAAATGCTCTTGGGGAGGTTCAATAGTTATTTGACCTCATTTCTTCAAACCAGATTAAGAGAGTATCTGAAATAAGAAGAATAGAATGAATTCTTCAAATATGTTTCTCTTTTATCAAAACATAAGCCATTAAAATTTCCTCCTTGGGGGCTGGAGAGATGGCTCAGAGGTTAAGAGAACTGGCTATACTTCCAAAGGTCCTGAGTTCCATTCCCAGCCATAACCATCAATAATGAGATCTGGTGCCCTCTTCTGGCATGCAGGCATACATGCAAGCACACATAAAGGTAGAATACTGTATAAATAATAAAGAATAAAATATTAAAACAAATTTTCTCCTTTATTCCTAAATATTTCTCTTTTGCAATCTGCTGTAGGCACTGGCACAGTTTCAAATCAGTGTTATCTAAGAAATGCCTGCTCATGGCTGGTATGATGGGCCTCTCCTGCATCCCAGCACTTGAGTGGCAGGAAGGAAGGCCTGACATGAGTTTGAAGCCAGGCTGAGCTCTGGGACAAGCTCCAGGCCACTCTGCCTTCCAAAGTGAAATCCTGTCTCATAAGATAAGCCGAACCAGGCTGCTCTGCTCCTAACCCAAGAGCTACCAGCTTCTCAGGCAGGCATTTCTTCACATGGCATTATGTTGGTGGTTATGTTGATGACTACAATACTACAGTCATCAAAATAATAGTGATTAATTTTCAAATGGTGATACAAAAACGAGTGGAACTACTATTGTTTGTGTAGGAAACTTAGATCAAAAGCATCAGAGTTCAGTTCAAACAGAAAGGGACTTGGAATAGGTGGTTTCTGACTTCCCAATTAGATGGGTTAAACTACTTAAACATATAAAATTAAAAACCAATCAAAACCAATGCTCTATTTGCTTTGTGATGTGTTCTAAGAACTCTTGTCAAACTAAGAAAGAAATCTCAAAGCTTGATCCACTCAGAGCTTCAGATGTTGTAAATGAAAAGGATTCTTGAACCCTGTGGATGCTGGGACTGGGCATGAGGGATGTATCCTAATAATAGTGAGATCAACAAGATTTGTCATAATTTTGAAAATAAAGAAAACCAGTTCTTTTATAGTTATCTTTTGTCACAAAGATTTTTTTTTCCTGCTCAAAATGTACTATGTGCATTTTAAAGACTATAAACTGATTCATGCTTATGAGAAGGTCTCACAAAATTCCCTTTGTTCTGGCAATTCTTTATAAACGAATACAACGCCAGCATGGGTGCGTGAAGGGAGGCTTTCATTAAGCTAAATATGACTCCACTTTTTTGACCTGTTTCCCTGCTTGTTGTCATTTGAAAAGTATTGTGTAGTAAACATCTGTTATTTTTGTAAACCCACTATAATATAAACAGATGTGAGCTTTTGCTTAGATTATATATCAGGAAACAAGCAGCTGGGCTTTATTATGGAAGCCACTCAGTATTATCTCTGAACAGATAGTCTTTACTTTTTGACTATGGGAAAACACAAGTTAGTAAAATTGAGCAGATGTCAACTAAACAAAAAGCTTAATTTTAAACATGCAATCTCAAAAACCATTGTACCATCTGACCGACACTTCAATTGAGAGGGAGGGAGCTAGCTCTTTAGCTCCTGAAGCCTTGACAGGCTTAGAACATAGAAATATATGTCTGTAGTTCAGTTGCTATCATAAGACATGAGCAAACAGTCTCCCCTGGGTTGTACACTCTTTTCCTGTTTTCTCTTCAACCGTGCACAAGGCCATAGGTTTCCCTGAGACCTCTACCTAATGCTTCATTTCCAATCAGCATCATCTCTTTCCTCGTAAAACAAGCTTTCCCAAATGTAGTTCTGTTCCACAAATCAGATGGGGCATGGTGGGGGAGAGGAGTAAAAGGATTCAATAAATGAGACACAACCGCGCCAGGTACACCATTTGTCAAAACAGTTTAAAATCAGGGCTATTTCCCGAACCATCTTAGTTTTTGTAAAGAGAAAAGCAGTATCACTTTATTTTTCTTCTATACATAAATAACAACCATTAACTCTGCAATTAAACTGTAACTACTGACCATGTAAGTATACAGAAACGCAAGCACCATGTAATCACATAGTAATAGTTTCTTTATTTCTGTCTTTGAAACTAAAGCCTTGTCATAAGATCTAAGAACTGTGTGTTACATGGTAATTTGTTTTTGTTTTTTAAAGACTCAGGAACTCCAATAACAGGTTCTCAGCACAATACACTTATTATTTACACTACACAACTGCTCTAGTCTCTGATTTGCATAAGAGAAAATAAATATCCTGATTATATACTGAGATGATACCTATTCCTCACTGAAGACATCATACAAAATTGTCCATTGGTACCTTGACATTGAAATAGTTTGAAACATGATGGTTCCATTTCTGTCTCTCTTTTTTCCTCAGGACAAGTAGAGAGTCTGTTATGCTGCCAGGAAAGGGAAGGACCAATACTTCCATTCTTATCTCAGGCCACCAGCTGCGCCACTTTCCCTCACTCTGCTTGCTGCTACCACTAATGTTTGAAGTACATTGAGTTTGGAAAACAGTGTATGATGCTCTTACAAAGAGAAAAGTATCTGGGGAGGATGCTAAGGAGAGATGAGACAGACTGAGGAAAGCGGGAAAGTCTTTAAGAGTTTCTTATTAGCGGCTACTCTGTTTTAACAGCATCTATTCCATCTCAGGCACAAACACAGCCTGTGCCGAAGAGTGACTGCTGAGCAAAGCCCACCCTCCTTTTCTAAACACTTCAGAGGGGCTCAGACAATCAAGGAAAATGAAAATCAGAAGCTGTGATCCAGGAGAAAGGGTGCAACGGAAAAGCTAATAAAGATGACCCTGGTCATTGAAACTTTTAAACTTCAAATACCTTTTTTTAAGATATGCAAATATTTTACCCTTGCATGGAATTAATTTCAAATATATGATCTACATATAATCTGTATGATTTAGTGGAAAAGAAACTAATGAAGCCTGGCCGTGAATAATTTTAATTGATTCTCAGTTTGGTTAGGGATTATTTGGCTTTCATTTGGGGTTAGGTATTTGGGATTTCAAAACATAAGCTAAATGAAAATAGTAAAGCATAAAATGAAAAGACATGTCTAAAATGTACTTTAAGAATGAGAAGTAAAAAATAAGCGTAAAAGCAATGCTGATTCACAACAAGTATTTATCAAACAAGATGAAAACACATAGTAAGAAAAGGTGCAAGGGACACCTCGCCCTGGTAGCTTTGGAAAAACACAAAGGACTGAGCCAAGCTCATGCTATCTCCAGGTTGTCACCGAATCTCATTATATCTCGGTTCATACAGTACTGCAATCCTGCAACTCAAGTTAAGTTATTTTTGCTCTGAAGCAGAAGGAGAGTTCTGATGTCTAATTTATTTCAGGTTTCTAAAGACACTGTTTTTCCTAAATACAAATTCAATATTTAAAAAATATTATTCTAACAGCCTCCATGTTTTAGTAATGCGCAGCTCATGTTTCTAATTAGCCAGAAAGCAGGTAGGCAGTAAAACATATTTGTGTAAAAAGGACGAATAGTAAACTGAACTTCACACCTCATAAAAAGCTTTGTAGTCATCCCAGTGGTGGCTCTCGGCATCCTGTAAAATGCTTGTAGCACAAACTCTGACGCAGTAGTCCGTAACCTGAAACTGTACAGTGTTGATGAATTCCTGATATCGCTGGACAGGCACCAGGAATATGGGTCTGTTCAGAGGGAATGATCAAAGAGACAGAGATTTAAGGCCTGTGCAGTAGGAGGTAACAACCTCCAGCACTACAAATGGTTTTCATTATTAGATATCAATCATTCATTTCCTCCCAAGGCTGAGGGCTGTATCCACATTCACTTTCCAAGAAGAAAAGTGCATGGGGGAGCTCGTCTTTGTTTTGCAAGTCCTTTGAAAATGTACATCTGCTGTTCTACAAATATGCACGTCAACTCGAGACAAACTGTATTGTCAAGACATCTTTCAAAACTAAAAGTATTCTTTGTGAGCCTGTTATCAGAGCTCAGTGCGTTATTTAAGCATTAGGTTATCATTAGTACTGGAGAACAACATACACTTGTCAGATGAACTTTTCTAAAGCTATCACACATCCCATAAACACACTCTTTTTATTTTTAAAAATTGTAATTTTGTAGATGTCAATTATCTTATAAACTGTTTTAAAATAGTCTACTAAAATGAAGTGATTTCTGGCATATTTTGTTTATAAATTCAAGTATGAATCACAACATCTGATGACTTATGAGAATTAAAGAAATAACATAACTGTATCCAACATAGAGCCAAATTTATTTCGCTTTTATATTCAGCTATTTATGTCACATTTCTTTCTTGCACAGCTAAGAGACTATGAAGGCTGGGTGAAGACTATATAATAGATTCTTGGGTTGCACTGGACTGGCAAGTCCATGTCCTCCTCTCACAGGGCCATAGTAAGTTCCACAAAGTTCAAGTGGAACCAGAGAAACCACTTGATAGTACCCACGGTGATTTCAGCTCCTCAAAGAAAACAGGCTGTATTTTTAGACTCCTGGTGCATGAGAATTAAGATCGGCAGATGTTTCCTCCTCAAATATGGCTAGTGTATTACTAGATAGATGTCCTACAGCAGATTCCACTAGGCACAACGATGGATTAAGATGCATTTATTCACTACAGCAGCTCTCCCCAGCCTGCTGGATTAGGAGGAGAAGCGAGAAGGGCGCGTTTCACAGATGTTTCTATGTTTGTGTGGTCAGTTTGTGGTGCTGTCGGGAGGGGACAGCATGCAGAACATGGGGCCCTCCTTTGTGCATGTCTTCAATGGAGATGGCCTCTGTTTTTATGTGCACTACTTCAGTATAACCCATACTGGGCCTTTTAAATACTTCCTAGTCAAGAGCAATGAAAAGAATCCACCATATTATTATGTTCTCCTCAGTGATTACTGTCAACATTTGATTTTCTGAACTCTGAAGAGTGTGTGTTTCCTTAAGCATGAGCATCAACTTAGTTTAAAAGACACTCACTTTTTAGTTGTCTCCTTCATCAGATGATCATAGTGCATGAAACGCTGGGAGACGTAAGCTGCCGAGGACAGGATGATGTGCAGGTTCTTCAGGGGTGCTCTGGAAGGAACCTCCTTGCCTCTCTCCTGCAGTCTTTCCAGGACAGCTGTTGCCACTTTGCAGCAGGCCTCTGCCAGGTTCCCTCTGATTTCCTGAGGAGAATCATCTCTGCATGCCAGAGCCAGTGGAAGTATTGCATCAAGCTTTTCCATGATGTCAGAACAAAACTAGGGAGAAATAAATGTGGCGCTGAGTTATTTGTACTCTGACAGCACCGTGTAATTTATGTACAGTGGAGCCAAATTCCTAAATAATGAATTTGGCATCTAACATAAATAAAATGATGCAGCTTTATAACAATCAATTTCTCAGTTGTAGAAAGTTAAATGTTTCATGTCAAATAAGGAAATACCAAAATGATGTCTCTCTATATATAATCTTCAAACCTTATGCTCCCAGACAGACATTACGAAAAACTCATGAGGCAGCGTTACATGACAATACCTTTATGTATAGTCAAGAGAACTCAAAATAATATGTATCCACGATATTAATTTCCTATCATTTTTAAACGTCCCCTAATTTTTTCTGATATATTTTGCTAAACAATACATAGTATGGCAGTCTGGCTTAAATAATCCAGAAGCAACAGGAACAATCTCACGCAGTCTCTTTTTTTTTTTTTTTTCATTTTCTTTTAAAAATTTATTTATTTTTTAATTAATTAGAGTTTATTCACTTTGTATCCCAGGTGTAGCTCCCCTCCCTCGTCCCCTCCCAATTCCACCCTCCCTCTCTCTTCTCTTCCCATGCCCCTCCCCAAGTCCACTGATAGGGGAAGTCCTTCTCCACTTCCCTCTGACCCTGGCCTATCAGGTCTCATGAGGATTGGCTGCACTGACAGTCTCTTGTTATGAGTAGGGAGCCGTATATTTCAGATGTGATGTGTCTACTTTCACCATTTAATCTGTATCTGACCTCTTTGGTGATAGATGGCTGAAGGCACAGCCTGCACCTAACCAACAGAGCTCCCCAGAGAGGGTTCTAGAGCCTCAGGGTGGTAAGAGGAGGAGGAGGCAGGGGCTCTTGAAAACCACTGACTGCTGTGTTGGCAATGGGTTTCCTACAGGGCATCTACACTGACTTGCTTTATATCCTTGGCAGATTCTGGGGACTTTCTAAACAGGATAGGATATTCATTCAGGTGAAAATATTTTCTAAGTTCACAGCAATACAAGACAGTACAGTATCCCCTTTAACCTCCTCCACTCCTCATGTCATTCCAGCCTTTTCAGCCCTTCCCAACTCACTGAGACTCCTTATCAGCTTGCCTCAGAATAATGGGGCAAATGTTAGCAAAGAGACACATGTCCTTTTGGGTAGTTCTAGGCTATAGACACCAAAACAAAGCAAAACAAAACAAAACAAAAACAGAAACAAAAAACTCATAGTACCATGCACTTTAAGAGGAACTCCACTGGTTTATCTATAGACTGCTTATATTTGCAAAAAGAAAGAACAAATAAAATAGCTGCCTTGCTAGCTGGCAGCTCTTTGAAGCAGTCTAAGACTTGCCTTGGCAACTTTCTTCGGTTGTTCCTCCTCGGGAAACATGTGACCATCTCGCCAAACTTGCGGGGCATTTACAAGGTTCATAGTGTAGCTCACAGCTGAGGTCCTTTCAGTTTGTTCCTGATGAAGGACCTTTGTGAAAAAACCTTCAATGGCAGATGGTATGCAGTGTGCCATGGCAAGAGAGACTTCTTTAAATGCATCTCTCCAGCCAAACTCTAGTAAAGTAGCCTGAAATAGAAATGTACATAAAATCATATTCATTTTTACTTAGGAACAATGTTTCAATTGTTACAGATATAAAATTATTACTTTCATTCAACATATTGAATACAGGTATTCTTTGATATACTCTGAAAGCCATTCTTACCTTGTGAATGTAAATGTACATTCTTTACACATAGCAATATACTGACATCTCACTTTAATTCTTCAGTGGATTTAATAAAAAACTCTTTTCAAAACTTAATCTTTTAAGTATAGTTCAATAAAACCATCTTTAATGAGAGCTGAAAGCTACAGTTACAAGCAATCACATAAAACAACCTTTAAATTCAATACATTTCATAAAGTCTAAATTAGATTTTTATAGTCTTTTTACAGTTTATTGTTAACAAGAATTGCAACATAAGTTAGCAATTAATATTCAATCTTTGATTTCTCTTTTAATCTCAGGATTCCAGACAAGCTAAAAAGGAAAACAGCAATAAAATAAATTTCTCAGAGAAACTGCACATTTCACTGTTCCGGGTTTTAACTTGTGTAGATTTTATTTAGCCTCTCCATCCGCAAAGTGGTAGGCACTACAAGTTCTGTTCCAGGAAATGAGGAAGTGAAGTGGTCTGCACTGTTTCACATGTGCAAGGAGCATCACTGATGTCATAATCATTCGTTTTCTCTTAGGGGCTTTTCTTTTATAGCCCATATTTATAGGCAGCTCCTTCAGATAGCTTTTCTTTGCCTCTTTTTTTGTTTTGAATATATTTTTGAGTTTTATTGAAATATTACATGGACAAGAAATTGGAAATACAATCACATCAAAGAACAAATTGTCGTGGCTTTGATGTTTAAGCCAAACAAATTTTGTTGGGCAAATTTCAAAAAGATGAAGTTATAACAATTTAAAAACACAGTTAACCTGTTTCTAAGAATGGAAAATATACAGTCATAGGTTATTTTTAATATAAGAAAACTTAAGTCTCTTTGCTTTAATTTCTTAAAACTACTAAGGCAGAGCACTGGCTTATACTTTTATTAACAGCATCCTTCATACTCCTATGTAATCTATTCCAAATCCCAAAAAAGCAACTCTCCAAACCCAAGGTTCTGCAAAATCATGACTTAACAGTTTGTTCAAACTCTAAAATGAAGCCTGGAACGATACAAGCATTGTAACCCCAGAACAAGGGAACTCTGCAAGCCCAATAGTGTCCAAGAGCAGTAGAAAAGAAAAATAAATAAATAAAAGGCCTTGCGTATGCACACAATAGTGACTTCTTCAGTGAATACAAAAAGCAGCAAACTGCTACTTGAAGATGAAACAGTCACGCCAATTTTGTTTTGAGGAATGTAGATCTAGATACAATCGTATCTGGCCAGTATTGTTTTCAAGCCCTCACTTACCTATTTCCACTGTTGCCCATTAAGTATCCTGATAAAAATTTTTGGTTGTCATTATTGTAACTATAGTTACCAGAATATCACCACCTTGCTGAAGTGGCTGCTGAACAATGGGTTGGGAATCCAGGTCCTGTTGGTTGTTGGTCTGATGATGCTTAGAATCAGGCTGGTGTACCCATCTGCCCTCCTCTAGCCCCCTACATCCTCCCCTCGATGCCCCAAGTGACAGGAGACACACCCTCTCTGCTGTTGTGCAGGACCCCCTCTGCTACCCTTCAGCCTCATGGTGGTCCCAGGATGCCCACCAGCTCTGCCTCTTGGAGGTGGTGCTCTCCATCCCCTTGGTGGGGGTGGAGCCCTCCGCCTCCCCTTCCTCCTCCTCTTCCTCTTACTGCACAGCCATCATCATGGCCATAGTAGGGATCTTCATAGCCTACACAATAGTCATGATAATCACAACCACCGCAATGAGTAGTCCTCATAACCACGATAATCCAGGGGTAGCCACAACACTTCTCCCTCTACGACCTCCACCTCTCACTAGAGGTGGCATTCGGGGAGGAGGGTGATAATGATAGTCTTTCCATGCAGGGCTCTGGAGGCCTGACTAACAGCTTGGCGCTCTTTCGGCTTCTTGTCTCGTGGGTTAGCTAAGACAATTTCAATTCCTTCCCCTTCTATTTCTTTTCCACTCATTTCACCCACAACCTTAACAGCAGGTCCTCTATCTTTAAAATGAACAAATGCATAATCTTTCAACTTCTTCCCTCTCTCCAGTTTTCCAAATTCAGAAAATGACTTTTCTAATATTTCGTAGAGCCAAGTTTCTCACAAATAAAACTTTCACCAGTTTAACTGCTTCCTGGGCAGCTTCCTTTCCTTGGAGGATGATAAATGCATATCCTCTGTTCTCACCAGAGAATGGATCCATCGTAAGGCATAGATCTCAGACAGGACCAGCCTTCTCAAAAAGGGGCACCAACTCATCTTCATCAAAGGCTATTGGGATTTCACCTGCGAAGATCTCTGTTCCGATTCCAGGTTGCATACGGGAGTACACACTGTCTGGGGGGAGACTACCACACTTGCTCTGTCCTGTGGTTACATCCAGATATAAGCAGGGCTCTCAAGCAAGGCCCTGATCTTTGCTTCCTCGGGCCCTTTTATGGACTCTTGCACCTTGATGCCGTTTCTCTCTGCTTGCAGGTTTTCAGAACTCCACATAAAAATGCACTTTTGTTCTGAACATGAGATGAGTCACTTTCCTTGAACTGCTGTAGTACAGACAGAGCTCCTTCTTCATTAAATTCCCTGAGAGCATCAATTGCTCTTTCATCAAGATTGACATAAGCTACCAACCAGTCTGAAATATTTCCTCAAGTCTTTGTGGCAACTTCTGTGGGAGGTCTGCCTCTATCACTGTTACATAGTGTTCTGTGTGAGTATACTGTGTGAGCACAGTGTGTGAGCACACCGTCTGTGGGAGGCCTGCCTCTGTCACTGTCATGTAGTGTCTGTGCGAGTACATGAAGTATCCATCGTTCTTCCTCTTCTTTTACCTGTATCACATTACCATTCACCTGATTAGCCATTTTATTACAAAGGGCTAAGCAGGCGGGCAGGGCGGGGCGGTGACTGTAGGGGGACAAGGGTCATGAGAATCAGTGTGAGGCACTTTGAAGAGACTAGAAATGGAGTGCGTGCCAACACCCCATGTACCTTCTTTTCCTCTTTTAAAATTTATTTTGTATTTGAAGGTGTTTACCGAATACAGTTTGATCATAGTCTCTCCTCCCTCAATTCCTCCCAGATCTTCTACCAGTCTAGCCACTGAACTTCCTGTTGTTTCTCTCTCTTAAAACAAAACAAAAATCAAATGTTATAATCTTTATGTCCTAATTTGCCTTCATTACTGTGATGAAACACCATAACCAAGAGGAACTTGGGGACGGACGGGTTTGTGTCACCCCCTCACACCCGTCACAGTTGATCACTGACTGCAGTCTGGGCAAGAGCATGTGCAGAGACCGTGAAGGGGTGGCAGTCGCTGGCTGGCTCACCATGGCTTGCTCAGCTTATACGGCCTAGGTCCAGGGGTAGCACTGTGGGATAGGCTCTCCCACATCAATCAGCAACTAAGGAAATCCTCACACACACCTCCAGGACAGTCTGATGAAAGAAATCCTTCAGTTCAAGTTCCCTCTTTCCAGAGTACCTTAGCTTGTGTCACATGGACAAAAACTAATTGGCATACTTGGCTTAATTTTGTTTTAACTCTTGGTCTCATATGGAAATATGCCTGTGAATGTAGATGTCTTCCAAATTCCCTAATGCTCTCCAAATTACTAATACTACACACAGCAAGCACACTAAATCTACACTTGTTTTTAGGACCTTGTTTTTAGGAACACGTCATTGATGCCAACTACAGCAGACTGTGGTCTTGGGGCTAGAGAAATGGCTCAGCAGCTGAGAGTACTTACTGCACTTGCCAAGTGAAGAGTTCAGTTCCTAGCACCCACATCAAGAGCCTCACAATCTCCTTTAACCCCAGCCCCAGTGATCCTGTGCCTTGCTTTCTGGCCTTCTCTGGCCCCCACACATGCATACATAACATTCCTCTACCCACATAAAACTAACAAAAATAATTTTAAAAGTAGATCCTGGACCCTTTATCCCTGACTGAATTTTTGGTTTTTCTTGGTATCAGAGTTTTTAGCTGAGAACTTGAGTTAACGTGGATGGTTTATATGGTCGCTTTCAGTTTAAGACTGCGGAGATCAGGACTTGGGAGATGGCTCAGTGGGGTAAAACAGAGGCAAATATCCTTGCTATGCAAACCTGCTGACCTCAGTTTGAGGTCCAGACCCCACGGTAGGAAGAAAGAGCAGATCCCTGAACAGCGTGCTTCGACCTCCACTGGTGCCGCCTGGCATACAGGCATCCTCACTCACATGCACACACAGACTGGCTCACACACTCAAGAATGAATCAGAATAAAACTAGGAAATACTGAGATTAAAATCATTAGCTTAATTTGTTATATGACTATCCAATCCAACAACATTTTGACACATTTGGTACAACTATAGAAAATAATAGAGATGGTTTATATACAGCTCGTGAGTCTACAATTTGGTAGTCAAAATAACAGCTCTTGTTTTACTATAGTTAAAATGTAACTGAACTTTCCTGTCTAAATTTTATTTAATCCTTTGGCAACATAGAGCATAAATCCATCTCTCAATTATATTGTGTACAATTCAATCTCTTTGCTTATAAGTGAAGGTCTTATTTCTCTATTAGAGCATAAACATTCTTAAAAACACTTATTCAAGGAACATGTTTGGCAAAAATTGCAAGTGACTGCTGTAGCTGTAGTCAATTTCTCCAGCCCGACCTATCCCTTTTTCAATTTCTGCATAGGGATTATTTTTTCCTGTGATAATTGATATGTGATTATAATATGCTCCACCAATATGAATTCCCCTTCCAAATATGAGGAACAAAGACATAAATCACTGCTTGTACAAAGAAAACTAAAAACCTCTATGTACTGAAACCATATTCTAGAAGTCTATTTGTTTTCATGAAAGATTGCTTATTTTTTTTTTCCTCTTCCCATCTGATATTTGGCATCACACACATTCCAGTTAAAATAAAGAACATTTATTAGTTAATCCAAAAAAAAACAAGAAGGAAGGGTTTTCTTTTCTGTACACAACAGTTAGGAAATAATTTTATCTTCTGTTACCTAATGCTAGATTCATGCTGAGTTTGATTTTGTTCTTCTTACTGTTGAAACTTTCTAGGCTTGGGAACTTTTACAGAGTACACGTATCTTGGACTTCTAAAATATGTACACAGTGTATTATTCAGAATTAATTGAGAAAGCAGAAATCACTCAAGGAATTTCAAAAACATTACTGTCACTATTTGAATGGGTAATGACCTTCTAGGGCAGTGGATCACAACCTGTGGGTCATGACCCTACAGGGTCACATATCAGATATTGATAATACAATTCATTACAGTAGCAAAATCACGCTTATGAACTAGAAACAAAATAATTTACGGTGGGAGGGCCACACAACATCAGGAGCCCTATGAGAGGGTCACAGCATTAGACAGGTGTGAACTGCTATACAGGCACATGTTTGCATGCTTGCTCACAAGAGGAGGGCTTGTTTGGGGAAGACGCTGGAATGTTAGAAAGTAGGGCAGAGAGGGAGTAAGTAGCCCATTAATGACAACATGCCCTCGGCTTGTATTGACTTTGATGCTTCCTGTCACACTCCCTGCTTTGCCACAATAATGTGACCAGCCATGTCAGGTTCCTGCTGGCATTTGACTGAGCTGCTTCTCCTGTCAGACTTCTCCTATCCTCATGATGACATGAAATCTGAAACCATAAACAGGTACATTCTTCCTTCATTACATTCCTTTTGTCAGGTATTTTGTTACAGTGATGCAAAAGGAACAGTAACCTAGGCGAGGGAAGACTGGAGAGATCAGGCACAAGCTGTGAACCACAGCAAGTCACAGTCACTCCCAGAGAGGGAAGAGCAGAGACAAGGTACTGTGCTTTGAGAGATCCAGGCTGCCAACAGAAGCCATGGCAAGGCCCAACCGCCAAGTGGGACTGTAAGCACATATAAAGAATGCAGTCTGACCAGAGCATAGCACTGGGAGTCACAGCTCTGCCACAGGCTCACAGAGGTGGGGGTAGGAAACTTCAGTCTTTCTCGGAAACTTCTGTACTCCAAGGTTTTATCAATACCTTTAATTACACAGACAATCCCACAATACAGAAAGCAAGCGAGCTTGGCAGATATGAGTATCACTTTTCAATAATTATCTATATTTCACATTCTCAAAATACAGATCCTGAGCCAAGATGGAGACAAAAATTTCTTCACTTCTGTTTTTACACCATTCCATAAACTGGTTTTATAATAAGAAATGACCCAGCTTATTTTTGAAAAAAAAAAAAAATTTAACTTGTTAGCTTATATCACTTACACACATTAATGGGTTTTGTTATGAGATCTTCACATGCTATTCACTGTGTTTTAATTTTATTCATTGTCCCTCATTCTCTCTTTTAACCTCCATTTCACTAGTCCTCTTTAACGCAGACTGCCTTCTGCTTACAAGCCTTGTCTTATCTAATCTAGAATCCACACTTTGAGAGGAAACATTTGTTTGTCTTTCTGAGCCTTGCTTAGTCATCTTATATGATAATCTGTAGCTCCATAAATACTGAGTAAACAAAGACCAGGTCAAAAGCTCATGTCCTTTCAGCTTATTCATTTTCTTACATTTCAACAACTATGTATCTATAATGCATACACAGAATCTGTTCTGGGTAACTAGCTATCTTTAGTCCTTGTATATACCCAGCAGTGGCACAGGAAGGTCATATATAGTTAGGTTTATCTTCTTACTTTTTGGAGGCAACTCCACACTTATTTCTATTGTGGCTGACCTAATTAACATTCCCATCAATAGTGTATAAGGATTATTTTTCCCAACATCATTAACAGCACCTGTTGTTTAGTCAGCTGACTATAATACTTCTGGATTTTTGCATAAAACTTCTGAGGAAATTTCAATCAAGATTATTTTGAATCAAAAGGAAAACATGAATATTTTGATTCACCATAGGCTCACAGAAATATAACCATGTTAAATGTAAAGAAAAAGTCTCACCTCTTTTACTGGTAGTAATGGCTCTGGGGGAACATTGGTTTCATTTGCTATATGTTTCTTTACCATGACTTCCCTATTAGATTTCTCCAATATTCCTAAGGAAAGAGAAGAAAACAAATATAAAAGTATTAATTTAAAAGGAACCAGTAGTGGTTGGAGAGACTGCAAAGTCCTTAAAATCACTTAGTTCTCCTCCAGAAGACCCAGGTTCTGTGTCCAGCACCTACTTCAAGCAGTTCAAAACTGTCTGTAACTTCAGTTCCAGGGAGTCTGATGCCCTCTTCTGGCCTTTGCACTGTATCATCACAGACACTGCATGCTTGTGACACACACACATATACTCTGGCACACATACATACATATCAAACAAATACATTTCTTTTAAAAAGAACCAACTATTCTGGATGTGACTGAAATATTATTTATATCGGAAAGCAGATGCATAGTAGATACAGAGAGATAAACATACATATGTGGATACATACTAAATGTAGTCAATAAGATGTAGGTTGGCGGCAGTATTACAATTATGCAGGCATATATAGGATAGAGACTCCTTTTAAATATACAACTTAATGAAATTTGTATGCTAGTCATAAATATTTGATACACATGCATATATAATCTATAAAAATAAAGATCCTTTGTCTATTTAAATTCATGTTGACAATACAGGATGACTTACAAGTAGAAAATAAACACTAACTTTCTTGTTTTAATTTTGAAAGTTAAGTTGTCTGGTCTGGTGGTGGTTCATGAATCTCAGACCATCTTGGGCTGCATAGAAATTATAGGCTAAAGTACTACACTCAAAACTGGTGTGGTAACATAAAATGCTAACATTTTCTTAAAAAAACAAGGATGTGGGGCTCGGGAAAAGGCTCAATTGACCAAGTGCTTACTGCACAAGAATGGGGACCTCACCTAGAGCACCCACATACTAGCAAGGGCCTATAATCTCAGCACTGGGAGGCAGACAGAGCATCCAGCGGTTCTGGCCAAACAGTGTAGCTGAATTGTAAAGATCCAGTTTTAGTGACCATTTCACAAAATAGTTCGGTGGGCCTGCAAGCAACAGCACCTGCCTGATGACCTACATCACAGAGAGAATGAACTCCCCCTAGTTGTCACTGATCCCCACATGCATGCTGTGGTGGGCTTCTGCCCTTGGGGTGTCCAGACACTGTTGCAAGCCTGGCTGGAAGGAAGGAATTTTAATCAGGCTGGTGGGTTAACAGGAACTCAGTCGGTGATGAGTGCAGGAGAAGCAGCCTTCTCTAAAAAGGTTTTCTGTGGAACAGCTCTCCTCTGTTGGAGGGAATAAGGGCTATAGAAACCTTGGGGAAGTTGGGGAGTAAATGGCATCACTGACTAGAGCTGAGGTGCTGGGAATGCTTCATCTGCATGAAGAGGATTTCCAGGGGCTAGCTGGATATGTCCTTATACGAAAATAGGAAGTTTTAACATGAAACCTGGCCACCAGGCTACTTGACTACAATAGGTGGGGGTGGCAAGGCTACATGCTCTGAGGCTTGCAGCCTGGAACAGGGAGGGAGCAGTGCCTACTCCTGCAGGTCTCAAGATGAGATATTCCAGGTTTGGACACATCTTTACCTCACTCTGGCTCCAGGCTGGCTTCCCTAATCACACAGCTCACCTGCCCCTGTGGTGAGCTGTGTGTGCCCCTGAGAAAAACACCCAAAGTTGAATTGTAACCTCACCTGCACATAAAAAAAAACACACGTGTGCATATATCTGCACACATGTACATATACACAAACACACATGTACCATTGTCATCAAAGAACAAAACACATAGAAAAGAAACAGGATAGGAGGAGAAAAAGTATGTTCCTACTAATTATTAACAATGGTTAATTTGAAAAACACAAACACTGAGATAGACATGACATAATCACTAAGTCTTAAAATGAAACTGTTTTTGCAATATTATGTTTTATACTGAATGAACACACTCTTTTCCCTGGGTGGGGGAAGAGACCTTCAAAAGGTAGTAAATAAATATAAGAAGAAATTGTTCCACTTTACCAAGATTGTATTAAGCGGTTTGTTTAAATGAATAATTTAGCATTTACTTTTTGTGGCTTGTAAGTATAGGATGATATATTACATACTATATTTCCCCTTTTTTTCTACCAGCTTTTCACAGTTATAGTTTAACAAACTTTAAACTTGAAGTTAACAGAAAGTTTAACAATTACAGTTTCTCTGTATTCTCTGAGCAAATCACATTGGTGATTTTCTCAGTAGAGATCTGGCCAATAAATTTATATTATGGAAGTGTGTGTTTTCCTCTGAAAGTGGTTCTATTACTTCAGTTACGAATACTTTCTAAACAATAGACATGTTTTTTGCTTTGATAAAAACGTTAATTTCAACACCTGTGTACCCCGAGTCAAAAGGAATGCCTATTTCGGTTATAACACCTCTGCTTCTGTTTGGATAAGTGTCCCCCAAATGAGAAGCAAGTCAAAGCCCTGGTCTCTAGCTTCTGGAGCTATTAGGAAGTATGGATCACTTAACAAATAGGTCTTAGTGGAAGAAAGTTCCGTCACTGTGGCCTGCTCTTGAAGGACGTCCTCTTAACTACTGAGCTATCTCTCCAGCTCCTAGTCCTCCCATGCTTAACCTTACAGTGATGTTGTATGTGTCTTATAACTGATGAACCAATACTAAAACATTGTTACATTTGTTCACAGTTTCCCTTAGAATTGACTCTGTGTTAAATAATGCTATGGACACTAACAACTACATGATCTCATGTCTCTGTTACTAGCGTGTCACATGGAATGGCTTCAGTGTTCGAAGCCAAGTATAACCTATGTGTCATTCCTTTCCCATTTTCCTGGCAATGTAGATCATTTCAATGTTTCTATAGTTTTGTCTTTCATTAACAACATATAGTAGAATTATATAGTATGTAGTCTTTTTAGATTGTCTTCCTTTACTTAGAAATAAGCATCCTTGGTTCCTCCATATCATCTTATGACTTGGTAATCTTATTCTTATTAATGGATAATATTCCATTGCATTGATATACCACAGACTGTTTATCAGCTCACCCACTAAAGAACATCTTAGTTCTTCCAAATGCTGGTGAGTGTGAATAAAGCTGCTCTAAACATTCATAGCAGGCTTTTGTATGGACATAAGTTTTTGACTCATTTGGTTAAACACCTGGAGGCACAATTACCAGATCATATGGTGAGCCTATGTTTAGCTTCGTGAGATAGTGCCAAAGCAACTAGCAAAGATGCTGTATCATTTCACATTCCTAACAGCAATGAACAGAGTTACTTTCAGGCTCCATACATGACGGGAAGCGATATTTTTAGAAGTTTTAGATTTTTGTTATTCTATTAGGTGTACAGTAATATCTTGTTTTAATTTGCATTCCCATGGTGAGATAATATTTTTTTGCATCTTTTCATATGCTTAAGTCACCATCTGTCATCTTTGGTGAGTCGTTTATTCAGATATTTTATGTATTTTAAAGTCAGGTTGCTTGCTGTCTTGTTGAATTTTAAAGGTTCTTTGTATATTTGGATATGAATCCATTATCATACATGTATTTCACAATTCTTATTTTTAGTTTGTAGCTTTGCGTCTTCTTTGTGAACATGGCTTTTTATTTAACAATTCCACATGAGAAACTTTCCAGATAGTATAGTTCAAATATAAGACACAGTTCAAGAAAATTTGCCATTAACATCATAGTAAGAAATGAAGTAAAGAAGGTCTACATGTTCATCATTGAATGCCTGATTAACTTATGTATAACAATGGAAAACTCTTCAGCAGGCACAGCAAACAAAATATGATTAACATGTTGACTTCATCAAGTTGTGTATGTATAGGCGTTCTATATCTTGTAAATGCCTGCCTTACTGTAATACTGGCATCAGTCTACAGCTTACTGAATATATTCCCTATAGTCACGTATTTACATGTTCCTATATAAGAATCTAGTGTGTGTACAGTTTTTCTCCTTTAGCCTGCATATGTCAATCACACCTAGAATGGTTGACTCTTTTCTCTTTCCGTAAGGTTTAATCTTTTGATGCGAATGAGTTCCAGAGGATATGTATCTGCCTCACCTGCATGCAGGGCCTGTAAAGGCCAGAAGAGGGCATTAGAGTCCCTGGAACTGGAGTCACAAGCTGTTGTGAGCTGCTCAAAATGGGTGCTGGGAACTCAACCGAAGTCTGGAAGAGCAGCAAGCGCTCTTAACAAGTGAACCACCTCTCTAGACCAATTGGTTCTTTTAAAATTAATGATTATGAATTTGTTTCCTTCTATTTTCTCAGAAAATGTTGCATTTTCCTAACTATTAATAAATAGAACCTTTGTATAGGGTGAAAATAATTTTATATTTTAATATAGAAATATGTATGGATGTAGTTATCAGAGAGTAGACAAATAGAAAAATATTAAATCTTGACTAGATATCCTTTGGTTTACTCAAAAGCTTTGTGGCATACATATAGTACTATTCAAAACGAATTTGTCTAAATACTCTACAAAAGCTCATAAAACTACCTGATTTTAAGAGGTTTTTTTTCCCTGCAAGAGTAACATTATCTTGAAGTATAATCTTTGCAGATCTGTTTTCTGGAAGTCGTGATCTGCCACTGTTGAGCTATAGTTTAGGTCTTATGGAAGAAGCTGACTACCTTATATTTAACATATACTCCGGAGAACATTAAATTTATGCAATAAACAAAGTGCTCAGATGGTAGAAACCATCTGCTAATCTTCAAGACAAGGAAGGAAAAGCTAATGTTCTTAAACCTTTCCTCTAGAGTGGGTCACTTCCAAGTACTTACATTAACCTTTAAAATATAATAACTCCCAAATTCAAATACTTTTAAGAAGCTTAACTTTAAGTGTAAAAGGGTCATTTTTAGGCAGAATTAACACTGGATACACACTATAAAATATTTCATGGATACAACATTGCAGCATTTTTATATTTCTTCGTAATTCAACTGGTCAATTTCAAAACTTGGCAAAATAAAATTCTATGAGCTCTTTGAACAACTGGGAAGTTATTGTACATACTTAAAATATATTAAAATTCTGTACACACTTCATTGTCTGCTTTTGGCTCACCATTTGAAAACTGTTATTGGCATGAAATCAACAGCGGCCCCTCTAAGCTTCTGCCTAGATTAAGAACCTCAGAAGAGCACAGAGGGTCACAGGAGCGCCAGCTGCTCCACAGCTTCCCCTAAAGAGTTCTCCGTGGTTCACTTTACGCTTCTGGCTAGTGTGCACACTGCCGCTTTGCTTTCTTTCTCGGGGACTGGAGGTTGGCAGTACTTCCCTGTGACATCCACTTTCACACCCAAATTGGTCTTCATAGGTTCCCATTGTGTGCACTTCAAAGCAACTTGCCTTGTTGGCAGCTCTGAGTGGGAAGTGCAAGTCTTTCTTTTCTTCACTGCTCTTTTCTGGCTCACAAGCAACCTCCCACCAAAAGCCGCATCTGTAGAAGAGACTACATCCAAGAGATAATACCATAACAAAGTATGAAGAGAAGCCCAGGTGGCCACCTTGCAAATTTCCAATGTGGAAGCCTTCGACCTCTCTGCCCAAGAAACAGCTAAAGTCCTAGAGTAATGAGCTTTAGAAACCCTAGGAGCCTCTTTACCTTAACTACATACGCCTCCCTAATACAATCCCCTAACCATCTAGCTAAGGAACTCTTAGAAGCCATTTGACCCCTCTTAAGACCCCCTAAGAGTACAAACAATCTTTCAGAAGATCTGAAATCTTTGATTCTTCTGAGACAAACCCTAAGTGTTCTCCTTACATTCAATTGAAGCAGCCATAGCGCTTTGTCGTTGCTGGGGCTAAAGAGAAACGAGGACCTAGAAGCCTCCTGGTTTAGATAAACCTCAGATGCCACCTTTGGAAAATTTGAGGAACTGCCCTGAGAACTACTGAATTCTGAAGGAGCATCAGAAATGCCCCGAACATCAAACTTAAGGCAAGCCCGTAAAATACCATCACATAAAAGACATATAGTAAGACTGTACTGATATACAGTCAGATAATGTCCTATCCCTTTTCAAAATGAGGAAGACAGAAACCATCAGATCTGACCAAACAAAAACAAATAAGTAGATCTAATAAATTTTTGTTTCTCATAAACTTGTCTCTATGAAATGTCTTGTTCACATTCAGATTACTAAGACAACTGCCAATTTAGCTACGTTATAATAGTAGACTAAAGTACAAAGTAAAATGTTTGGTGAATTACCTTTGCTTTTTTGTTTGTGATGTTAAACATCTGGATAATTTTTTTTTAAATATCTGGACAATGTGGGAAAAAACTTTACTTTCATCAGATTGTTTGTACGACATAGTCATACAAGGCCAATTTTTCCATGCTCATAAAATGTGCTCCAATGAACAGAAATACCCAGGAAGCCTCATGGTTTGCTCTTACCCCTTCATTATCTCACAAAAAGAGATTTTAGCAAAACATGACAGCGAGGTACTCTGTGCTTTCTATAATCACTCGGCTTAGAGTATCTTCTCCCTCCTGATATGAGAAGCCAATGGTTTTGATAAGAGCTGATTAACAATGGCACACTCAAAGAAATGTAAGCTTGTTTTTTTCCCTGACAATTTCTTTCAAGGTCATTCTTTACAGTCATTTATACAAAGTTGTGTAGGATCAGATCAAGCTTAGTTTTCTTAAAACAAAAGCAAGACTGAAACCAAAACCCATGAATTTCAACATCAAAAAATCACAGGGACTTATGGAGGGTGAGGGTGCTTGCTGCTAAGTCCGACAACTTAAGTTAAATCCCTGGAACCCACATGGTGGAAAGAGAGAACCAATTCCTGAAAGTTGTTTTCCTACCTCTATATATGTATGTACACACACACACACACACACACACACATACACACACTGAAGTCAATAAACTTTTTATTCCAACCAATATTGTTAGTTGGAATTATATGCAGGAAAAGAGGATAGGATCATAGATACCATGGAAATTTTAGATTACTGTTTAATAACATTTCTAGGTCATTAATATGAAGTGAGATTAGAGTGAATTAGAGAAATTATAATACATTAACTTTATTCATTCATTCAACAAATCTTTATTAAATATATCCTGAAGGCAGATATTATTTTAAGGGTTTGGGCATTATTAAAAATATTGTTGGAGCATAAACACATTTCAAAAAATTAAAAATACATTTAGCAAACAGAGATGTTCAACTACTGAGAGATTTCTTATACCTTTCAGTCAAAAATTACTTCTAAATATTGAATTTGATAACTCACAAATATGGTTTTGATGTACACGATTGCTAATACAATATTAAAGTTCCTTTCATCAGCAGTGCAGTATTTGGTTACCAATTCAGAAATGACTGCATGTTATGTTGCGATTCCAGGTTTTTGATTTCACATAATAGCAAGGCTTGCTGGCGCGCACAGTGTCTGCAAGCCTCAGCAAGACTCAATCCTAATCTAATGCAGTAGAATAAACCTTTCTTTTTCCTAAATCCAACAGGTGACACCTTTTCTTTAATTCTTAGTTATTTCAGTAGCTCCCACAACATTTTTAGTCACACTGCACTTAAAGCCAAAGCATTCTCTCACAATTGATACACTGTTGAGGGCTGAACTAGGATGAAAACAAGATGAGTCTAGCTGGTGGATGCTCCGTGTTGTAAAGCTCACTCTCTACAGTACTTGAAATGACTTGCACATATGTATATAAGCAAGACAGCATTATCCAAAACAAATTTAGGATGTTTTGCCCACTAGAATTAAGTACTCTCAAACTGAAAAAAATAAAAATAAAAATAAAACCAACCCATGTGTCATGCTGAATAGTAATCTAAACAACTTCACCGTGTACTTCTTTCAACAATGGTACAGATTCAAAGCAGCAGGGAGCAGTCAGAGAAAAATTGTTCCTGCAGGATTAACTAATGAACACATACCTGGAGAATGCATCTTAAGTAATAAAAACATGTCTTCAAACAGCGCCTGAACATCGTTCTCCAGCTTTACAAAGGAGTCCATTAGCTGTGATAAGAACTTGAGTTCTTCTAAGGACAGAGAAGGGCGTCGTCCCTTCTGTGGGCATGCAGGGCTGACTGGGATGAGAAGAGAGACACTGTTGGACATTTTATTGATATCTTTGGAAAGTGTTAGAACAATCTGTTTGATCATATACACCATAAAATTGACAAGATGCTTCATAATTGAGATGAGCTTGCTTATTAAGAAACACATATAAAAATCTCCTAGGAGAATCATTTCTTCCAAGAAGCTGGAGATAAATATCATCTTCAATGCAATTATGACAAATAATTAGCTTGATGCACAGTCATAAACAGGAACTTACATCTTATATAACTGTAATTTTTTTCAGTCTAGCATGATCTGACTGTGATCATGAGGAAACAGCAGACAAACTCATAATAAGGGCCATTCTTCAAAACAGACTGTCAGTACCTTAAAAAAACACACAAACAAACAAAACAAGCCTCAGAAATAAACAGCATAGAAGACTCGAGAACATATACTAGCTGTTATGTGATGAACATTTACTTTACTATAAGCAACATCAAGGGGTGTTTGGGGAAATGCTAACAGTATTTATAACCCAGTGCTCTTCTCACATGTTTCTTCATTTGTTGGTTTAAATATTGAACTGTAGTTATGAGAGAGACACCTTCTATTTGAGGTAGTAAATTCTGGGCATATAAGAATAAATGTCTGCCATGTAGATTTAATTTTAAAAAATAGTTTTGAGGAAAGAATCAGAAAGAAGGAAGGGAGAGAGTAAAATGTTAAGAGAGAGAGTCCATAAAATGCAAACTTTGGGCAAAATAATAATACTTGTGCATTTGAGGACCCTGGAGATAAAGGAAATTGAGAATTTTCCCTGAGAATTTTCAGCTTTCCTTATAACTCTGGAATTTAAAATATAAAGGAAAACATCTAAAGAACTCTGCATGTTATTTTTGTGTCATTAAAAAGAAACAAATCAATATGGCAATGGGTATAAAGTATATAATAACTACGTAAGCTATGAAGCCATGTTGGAAACTCACTCCTGTCTGAATAATTGTGGTATTTATTTTATGCATACAAATACAGCTTAAACAAAGATTGGTGCTTTTCCTCATAACGATGCTACTAGTGAAGTCACACTGTCATTTAATTACAACAGGAAACAGGAGATATTTGAGAAGGGGAAATAGTTTCCTTAAGAGGCACCTTTAATTTGAATTTATTGATTTTATTTTAGAAATCTATCATAAGATGGTACGTCTGACTACATGTTCAAGGATTCAAAGAATCTTTTATTAATTCCATTTCTTAAACTATACTTAGAAGGATTAATTGTAATTATCAAACTCATACTTCTCACTACAATAAGCACAGAGATTTTACCAGAAAACGAAGCGTGCCAGTCAAAAGCTGGAGCAGATGAGTCCACATGAAAAACAGATTACTTTCATCACATGGATTTAGAGGGAAAGCTTCAGAAACATATGACTACAGGCAATCCATTTCACTTCAGTTCAAAACTAAGACACTGACATCAAACTTAAATCCATATAACTGTGTCTCAGCGAGGTCCAACCAAAGCTATCATTTCATCCTTGCAGCACGTAATCTGAGAAAGCTATCTACCAGCCCTAACTGTAGAATCGAGCCCTCTCCTAACAAGCAAAAAGCATCCATAAGTATCTACAAAAAGTCTATATTCATCTCCACCTTAAACATAGTGCCACATGTAAAAAAGAAAAAAAAATCTCTCTAAAAAGCTCATGTTCTGCCTATGATTGTTCTAGAAAGATGTACAAGTACACAAAGTCTACAAGCAGCATACATAACAAAAATTCTCCAACAACCAGCTATGCTCCAAACAATGAAAAGGAAAACAAATACAGCATGTCCCATATAATTGTTGACCAATTCTTCATCAGCCTGTGTTGATTTGTGTATGTTTACACATTTGTGTGTACAGGAAACTAGAGGTCATCCTGACTGAGATGTTTGCCTTGCTGGTCATAAAAGTCTCTCCCTGCAACCTGGGGCTCTCCCATTAGGCATGGCTGTCCAGCTACCCTAAAATCACCAGAGCTTTCTTTTAAGCTTTACTTATGTAAATAAGGGGCTAGTAACCTTTGAAAATCTAGAGTGCCTTTTGGACCTCATATATTTTTAAAACAACTTGCAAATTCTTTAGGATTCCTTTCTAATGCTTCACTAGACAGGACTACTCAACAGTGTGATTTGAATTTAAACATAGCTAAAAACTTTATCTGCATCAATTTAAGTTTGAGGTATTACAAACTTTTATAGAATAGCAAAGAAGTGCCTTAGGAAATATCTTTGTAACATATTTTTATTAATTATTATTATTTAATACAATGTATTTACTTTGGTTTTTAAAATATATTTTTAGGGAATATCTTCAAGAGTTAAAACACTATAACTTTATTGCCACTTGTCTAAAAATCATGTAAGCCTATGGATTCTCCATGAAGAGGATTTCCCATCATGACCTAAAGTTACAAGGACCTTGCATTGTAGATATACAACAATATTAAGGGCACATCACTTTAATTCAATGGCTCTTTATAACTTATTAAAGAAGGCCAAATAATATGTGTGACCTAAATCTAATCATTTTTGTCCTAAAGAAGCAATGATTACTTAGGGACTCATTAATTACTAGTCCTTATTTCCTATCATTCTTAGACCAGAATTCTCTCGAGGGGCATTGTGAGGGTTCTTAATTTATGGGGAAAATAATTCTGTGATAAATTCATTTTGTAAAAGGCCAATTAAAACAAAATTAAACACAAAGGATGGAACTGCATTTCCCCAAACTTACTTATTTTCTGCACTCTCTCTCTCACAGGACCAATGTTCTAATCACCACCCTTTACCTCAGGAATTCTATTACTGTGCCTCATAGATTTCCCCCACTAACCAGAGCAGAACAGGATATCTTCAAGCAGAAATTCCTCTTACACTGTTCATCATTATTCTCTCCCTCTCTTCATTCAATGCTATTAGTTTATTCGTCTTCAAATCACTTGTTCAGAAAACTTCATTTGCATATAATGGATGTCATCTTTCCCAAATCAAAGCCAATTTAGCATTTACTAAATTATTGGCTTACTTAATTGTTTACATTATAATGAAATTGCCCTGCTTTCGATGAAGTTTACATAGACGTGGTTATACAAGTTAACTACATTTGATCTACCCTACCAAGAATTTCTGAATGAATTAATATTCGTTGCTTTGTTTATATGATGAACTCAGACATGCTATTCTGAAGAAACCTTAATTCTAACTAAATGCAAGGTTTTATCATCAAAGAGCAGTGATAGCAAAGGGTCCAGTGGCTTAAAAACTGAATGTTTCTCAGTTTTTTTTTTTTTGTTTGTTTGTTTTTTTGGCCAAGGAATACCAGCCAATTTACCAATAAATCTATTCACTTCTGAGATTTTCAAGAAGGCGGCCATTGCATACACTTCCATGATGATGAGTATTTCTATCTACTCTGTGACTTTCTCTTCCATTGGTAGATTTTTCCCTGCAAGTATTTGTGGCTGATTTTGATAGTATTATTTCCACTTGGAAATTATTGTTCTTAAATGTCATCATGATATTTTTTAGAGACACTTTTGAAAATAAATGAACGTATCCTAAATCCACCAAAATGCTCTTGTAAAACAATATACCCAAAATCAGTTTGAGGGCTAAAGCAAAATATCTGAGGACCATTTATGGCTCCAAAAGGAAAGAATAGTCAGGATCCTACTAAGCATGTGGGAAAGGGGCTAAAATTCAGTACTGCAGATAACCATGGTAAATATAGTCATAATGCTGATTTTTAAATCATAAAAGAATTTTATGTGCTGGGTTAGGTGGTACAACCCTATATGAATCTCTGCACTATGGTGACATAGGCAAAAGGATTGTAAGTTCAAGATCAAGGTAAGCATGGGCAACACAGCAAGCCCTATCTCAAAACAGACTCCTTGGTGTTGGAAAGTTACTCCTTAGTTATCAGTGCACCTAGATTATAATCTTAGAAAGTCAGTTGAAAAGGTGATATTGTGCAAACACACAAATGACTTTTATTAAAAATCTACTTTATTCATGTTCAAGTTTTTCAAATTAATTTTTAGGTTAGTATACAAAGTAATAAGTTTGATGATAGTATCTCATTTGTTCCCCTCCTCCAGTGTGGCCATTTATTTGGAAGCAGTGGGGAAGGAGGATGGATAAGAATAGAAAATATGCACAGAACACATACACACAAATGTCATATAGAAACCCGTTGTTTTTCCCTTTTATGCTAACTTAAAACCTATTGTTAAAATTATGTCTTGGCTATTTTTGGATAAAAATGTGGTACAGGTGGAAGTAATTTTGAAGAGAACATCTTGTGCAACTGCCATGAGCACAGAAAAAACCTGTTAGAAAATAAACAGTGCAAGCTTATTTTTATGCGTGTATACATGCATACATGTGTATGCATGTTTAAGAATTTAGAGGAGTGAGCGTGTGTGCATGTTCATGTGTGTGCATGAACATAGCGGTCTGAGCAAAATCAACCTGAGGAATGTTGTTTGCTTCCTTTGAGACAGAGGTATAGTGATCTGGAGCACACCAAGTAAGCCAAGCTCGCTGGTCACCTCCACCGCCACCATCACCACACACCGATTCCCAGAGTGGGATTTTAAACCTGTGCTATGACACTCAGCATCAGTTCCAATGGAACTTGTGTTCTCATGCTTGTGAGACAAAAACTGCACAGATTAAGCTCTTCCTCTAACTCTTGGCAGAAGTTTCTCAGAGACATTCTCAAAAATTTAAAAAAAAAAATTATTTCCCTGATGCCAGAAACTGTCCAGTGTTTTCATTTACATTTTTGGGTCCAACACAATCACTTATACAAAGTAGAAACTAAAAACAACTTGCTAAAAACAGAAAATAAGAACGAAATCTCAAGCACAGTGATATGGCGCATGCCTGTAATCCCAGCACTCAGGGAGGCAGAAGCAGGCAGTCTCTGTGAGTGTGAGGCCAGCCTGGTCTACAAAGCGAGGCCAGGACA